CCTGTTCATTCCCTTCCCGCAGGGATCTGTGGGGAACAGACCTGTGGTCCCCTAGGGAGTGTTAAACTGCAGCTTCCTGGCAAAGCTGTACAAATGGCATGCCTTCCCTCTGCTCCCTTCCTGTTATTCATAACTAGGTTAATTACAACAGTATCACCTGTGTTAACACAAAGGGTTGACTTGTCAAAAGCATATGAGTGAGAGATCTTCGCTAGCACCAAAACTTACTCATGATTCAGAGCTTATAGGCAGGAGGCTGGCACAGGAGCCAGGGACAGACATTCCTTGCTCGAGAAAACTCCAGCCTGTAGGCCCAGCTTCCACAGCATGCCACTTTCTTCCATATTAGGCCATATCATCAACATAAATACATAAGAAATGTTTAAACCTGTAGAGAATTTTTGTGTTTATTTGAACCAAACTGACAATTGCCGAGAAGCACAATCTCAACGGATTGAGAAAATGCTCCACAGAATGGCAGTTTTGCACCTTATTTTATACATTACAGTCAAAGGAGGAGGCATAAGGGATTACATAAAATTCATTGGTGATAGATTAGGGAGGTGGGAGAAAGCAAAACAGGGAATCTCTGGGATTGAATAAAAAGTGAAAAGAATAGACATATATTTCTTTTACACATATGGGTATAGGGTAGTTAACGATTAACATGATAACAATAACAATGAGGGGTTTTGTGATCTCTGCTCTGGTGCAGTGAGGGGTCTGGAAAAAAGGTAATTGCTCTGACATTCCAAAGGTATGTTATCATAGATGCAAAAAGACAATAGACAGACTCAGTTAAAGTAAAGATTGACCTTTGTCAGGGAAGATACGGCCTAGGACATGACTACCTGCTATGACTTGCTTTTATTTTCAGACCGTCATATAGAGTGACTTTAGGTCTCTGAATTCGTAAAGCCTGCCATTCATTTAGTATGTGGCCCCTTTTACATCCACAATACCTAGTTACATATAGATTGACATGAAGTCATTTATAAGTGTATTCCTAACAGACTTTTACTGTAATTTTTAATTTGTTTACAAGAGTGAAATTCAACCTCAGGACACTTTTTTGGCTGGGGGGTTGGGGGCTTGTTACCAGACAAGTTCTGAACAATATCAAAACCTTTTCTGTTTGAGGAATCACAAGTTTTATATTCCATTAGTTATACAAATAGAAAATGTCTGTATGATTATCTCTGATCTTACAGCTAGGCATGCCTTAAAAGTCCATACATTCTCAGATTATTTACGAAAAGCAATTAAGACAGATCAGGTATTTCCTGACATTTTAAAACAAGGGACTCTCTTATCTATTAAAGACCTTTAGCCTGTTTGCTTGAAGGTCCGGTATCAAGCTGGGAATCCCTAACTGACAGAGTAAGCCACAGGCTTTCTGTTTACTGTTTCCATCCCATCCCCATTTCAATGCATTCAGACCTACTTTATTACTTTAATGACTGGTTGCTTTTGATAGTTCCATTTTCCAGGAGTTTATTCTTGTTGTTATTATTATTAAATCTACACAAGCCAAATCCAAGTCCAGGAGTTTTGTTATTAAAAACAATGCAGTACATGGAAGTAGGGAACAGACTAACAAACCTCAGAGGGATAGGGGGTGGGAGGAGTGGGAGAAATAAACCAAAGAATTTATATGCATATATGCACAACCAATGGACACAGACATTAGGTTGGGGAAATCAGGAGGGGAGTGGGAGCAGGGAGGAGGGGGTCAGAGGGGAAAAAAGAGGGACATTTGTAATACTTTCAAAACAACAAAAAATTACTAAAACAAGAAAACGCAGTAAATATAAATATCTTTGTACACACATCTGTGTGCTCTTTTATAAATATTTCTTTAGGAGGGACAGTCAGAAGTAGATATTCTGGGTAAAAAAATGTAAATTTAATATATTGGTAAATATTGCTATATTCTCCTAAAAAAATTGTGTAGATTTATATTCTCACCTGTTTTACCACGGCATCTAGAGTACAGGTTATTATTAGTTTTTTAAAAATGCCAAAATGACAGTAAAAAATATCAGCTCATAGTTTTGGCTTGCATTCTTTGATTTAGAGAGGTTGATGTATTAATTACCACAAAGCTGCTCTTGTCAGTTGGGGGAGGGTGGTGCATCTTGCCATAGAAAAGGATGGTGCCATTGTGACTGCCCTGTTGTTCAGTTACCTGTAAATGGGTAGTTGTGAGGGTTGCACACTTGAGATGCTGAGCACATCAGAAGTGTTTCTGTGATGCTCTATTCAACAGTGCTTTTGGTACTGCTCATTGAATCCAGTGAACATTTGGATGGAATACATAGGCCTTTTATCAATACCAATGATGCCCCTTACTGATTTTTAATATGCTTTCTTACTTAGTGACCTTGAATTAAATAGAAGCCAAAGATTTGAATTAGAAGACAAAGATTTCATTCAGCAAAATGTACTGATTTAAGAAAACTTTTACACCCTGGCCAGTTTGGCTCAGCGGTTAGAGCGTTGGCCTGCGGTCCGGAGAGACCCGGGTTCGGTTCCCGCTAAGGGCACGTGCTTCGGTTGCAGTTTGTCCCCGGCCCTGGTTGGTCGTGCGGGTGGCAGCCACTCGATGTGTCCCTTCACATCGATGTTTCTCACTCTCTCTCCCTTCCTCTCTCTCCCTCCCACTCTACTTGTACAAAAAATGGAAAAATATCCTCGGGTGAGGATAAAAAAAAAAAAATTTTACTCTATAATACTAATATTTCTTTGGTAGCTTATTACAACACTGTACCACTAATGAAAAACGACCACTGCAAAAGCACCAGCTTGGGCATAGTGTTGCAGTGGAAATGGGGTCCTTTTACGGAATTTGGAGGCAAGCATTCCAGCGACCCATGTATGAGAGGATAAGGTTTAGTGGTTAGGTTTATTGTAGAAGCAAATTCAAAGGCCTGTCTGGGGTTCAGCTTGCTCCCACTGTGAAAGAAGTCCAGCCTCGTCTTCATCGGGCCCAGAACAAAGGCCAAAATCCAGAAATTCTGTGCTATAGGTTCAGTCCCTGTCCTTATCTGGCTAACTTAGACTGTTCTCAGCTGCACTGTCGCAGGCCCTGAGGCCCTGAATTGCTGTAACCAGATTTGTGCTTGGAGCCTGCTTTTGGAATCTGCGGGGCTCCCAGCTACCCAGCTGCTAGGGCTGCATGACTGTTTTGGACAGAGAATTCAGTAGGGCATGGGGCAAGCATATGTTACCCAGCCAGAGAGAGAGAGACAAACAGACAGAGAAACAGAGAGAAAGAGAAAGGAACCTTTGTGAGACTGATTACATTAGCTTGGGCTTGGGAAGGACCAGATGCCCTTTCAGTCTTTTGAGGGCTTCTGATGGGTACTCCCCCTAACCAATCTATTTCCTAAGTCTTCTGGTGTTCTTTGTCCCTATCCAATCCGATCCTTTTCCCAGGCTAGACAGACAGGCCTTTATGGTTGCCATCTTGGCTCCTACTATACATGCCTCACAGTAGAAGCACTTACCCCTTTATTGTTTATCTCTCTACCCCACTCTCACCCCATAGTCTGGGCAAATGGACTGGTTGTACCCTGGGGAGATTGGAACTTTGATCCTTCCTCTCTTGTTGGAGAAATGCTGCAATCCTCTGAGGTGCCTGTGAATGATGCAAAGTCCAGCGAAGCAGTCCCACCATCCTGTTCAGCTCTCCAGTCCATCAGGCTCAACAGTGTCTGATTCCCTTTTCCCCTTCTTTTATTATAATCTAGATACCTATGCTAATGATAGCAAAGGTTTTGCTAGCTTTTCGAATTTCAATCATATTTCATTTTAGGCTAGCTGGAGCTAATCACTGGATTTAAAAAACATTAATAGAAAATGCCAGATTGAGTGGTTACCTTTTGGGGACCCTCTCAGATGACTAGTAAGAGTCTGGGATCATTTGTGCCTCTTGGAGATACTTTTTTTTCAAATCTTTTTGATCCCTTAATTTGGATATTCTTTTCTTTTGAAAAATCAACTTTCTTAAAGTATAATTTACATAAAATAAAATGTACTGATTCAAAATATATACTTCAGTGAATTTTTGACAAACATATACATCTGTGTAAAGAGTACCCCATTTAAAACATAGAATATTTTCATCACCCCAAAAAGCTTCTTCAAATTCCTTTCTAGTCAACTCCTTTCCACCTGTCCAGGTAAACTAATCTGTAACTAAAGGTTGAACTACATATGAATGAAATTTTACTGTTTATATTCTTTTTGTCTGGTTCTTTCCCTCAACATACTATTTTTGATATTCATCCATGTTATATGTATCAGTAATTCTTTTCCTTTTTACTTCTGAGTATTATCCACTCATCGATTATTAGACATTTGGTATTTTCTAGTTTGGGACATAAAATTTTATGAGACATAAAAATGCTATGAACATTCATGTACAGATCTTTTGTGGGTAAATATTTTCATTTCTCTTGAAAATGCTGGGTCATATATTAAGTATATATTTAACTTTATAAGAAACTGCCAAACAATTTTCAAAGTGTGCCGTTTTACTTTCCTGTTAGCAATATCTGAGAATTCCAGTTGCCTCACATCTTTGTCAACACGAAGTATTATCTGTTGTCTTGCTTTCTACTTAGTCATCATAGTGTTGTGTAGTGGCACCTCATTGTGGTTTAATTTGAATATCCTGAGTGAAGTCTTTTGATCAAGAATGTTCTTGCCCTGGTGGGTGTGGCTCAGTGGGTTGGATGTCATCCCGTGTACCAAAAGGTTGCAGGTTCAATTTCCTGTCAGGGCACATGCCAGGGTTGTGGGCTCTGATCCCTGCTAGGAGGCAGCCAGTTGGTGTTTCACTCTCACACCAATATCTCTCTCTCTCTCTCTCTCAAAATCAACAAACTATTTTTAAAAAGGGAATGTTCTGGAGGTTTTCTATAATTTTGTATAGGACTATAGACATGTATGCACTAATGTAAAATCATCTTTTGTATTTAAATTTTTTTCTCTAGGTTTCTTTAAAGTGATTGAAGACAATAATTCAAAATGCCTGAAAATGCTGCTACAGGTATTCTGGATATAATACTTCTACCACTAAATAATTAATAATTAATTCAAAATCAGAATATAAGATGGAATTTAACTTGTACTTTGGTTATCCTTCTTCAAATAAGATAAACTGCAGGTCCTGCAAATTATCGATCGCCTGAAAGTGAAATTACAGGAGAAGGGTGACACCTCGCAGAATGAGAAGCTATCTATGTTTTATGAGACACTAAAGAGTCCTCTCTTCAACCAGATACTCACACTTCAGCAGTCCATCAAGCAACTCAAGGGACACGTAAGTTACCCATCAGGGTTTTACATGTTCATATATTCAATCCAGCCAAGAAAGATAAAAAGATGTAAAGACAGATGCAAGTTGTCTCTAAATACTCTTAATTCAGCAAAGAGATTGTGTTGGGACTTGTGACCTGTGCATATGATGGGCATGGATAGTGTAAAAATGTTGATAATAAATTAATTATGGTTGTCTTCAGAATATGGTTTTTATACTTTTTAAAATAAATAAAGTTCAGTCAGGGCACATGCCCAGGTTGTGGGCCAAATCCCCAGTGCTGGGCATGCGAGAGGTGGCCAATTGATGTTCTCTTTCATCAATGTTTTTATCTCTCTCTCCCTCTCCTTTCCTCTCTCTCTCTAAAATCAATAAAGAAACAATTTTTTTAAATAAAATAAGTAAAGTTCAGGTGCTTTGGGAATTTTCAACAGTTTTTTCAAAATTATAAAGTAGAATTTAGCTTAAATACATTTTCTTTATGAAGTCTTTTTTCTAGCAAAAAATGATCATGCCCTTGTAGCACATTATTTATACCTCTTAATAGTTATCAAATAAATATAAAATGCCATGGACAAGCTGATTAGAAAGTCCTCGGAAGCAATACGCCCAGTATTTTAACACTGATGTGTTTCTTCCACTACATATAGCGTAGCACCTGGACTTTTGCAGACTCTAAATACATGGTTGTCAAATTACAGGGCATGTGGCACCTCTACTATGAGTGATGTAAATTTACTGTTTTAATTGTCTTCTTGGTTGCTGTGTTTTGGAGTCAGAGATGGTAAATTGATTTAAAATGATCTAGTCTAGAAGTTAAGCTTGAAAAATAGCTATCCTATAGATTAAATTTGGGGATAATTTTAAATGTAATTGGAGACAATAGAACAGAGTTAAGTGAAAATTAACACAGTTTTGGGGAAAAGTGTTTTTTGCTGATAAACCAAAATACTTGTCCATAAATATTTAACAAATGATTCTTTAATAACTAATTAAGGATTAAATGATGCACTCATGTCTTTCTTTGAATTTCTCTAAATCAGAATTCATAAATAATTTTAGCACTCCCAATATTGAAGGTTATCTTTCTGTATTCGCTGGTCATAGGATGAGCCCTATATCACAACAGTGACTGTTACTTGTAGCAATAGAAATTGGAAAAGATCACTACAAATACTCTTACTGGACTCAAAGTGGACTTAACTAACTCCATTATAAAAATCTTTTATATTTTTATAGTTTGCTGTTTTTATAGACATAATCATGTTTTATCCATTCAACTCTAAAATCCCTGAGTTTTTGGTTTTTTCCTATAAGTGTTCTCATAGAGTTTCTCTGGGTGTTGAATTTTTCTAAGAGGTCCTATTTACATTTGTTCTTTTTTAAATATATATTTTTATTGATTTTTAGAGAGAGAGGAAGGGAGAGGGAGAGAGAGAGATAAAAAAAAAATAGATGAGAGAAAACATCGACTGGCCACCTCCTGCATGCCCCACACTGGGGATTTGGCCCACAACCTGGGCATGTGCCCTGACCAGGAATTGAACCAGAGACCTCTTGATGCATGGGTCGACGCTCAACCAGTGAGCCACACCGGCCAGGCTACATTTGTTCTTGATGTTACCTTTATTTCACTGTGTTAGAACTCATCTAAGCCAGTGATAGTTAAAAAATCAACCCATTTTCCAGTTCCCCATAATTACAGGATTCTCTACTGTTTTTTGTACCAATGTTTGAGTGGCTCTGTAACTCATTTGCTGCTCCCCTGTGTGCCTCAGTTTTCAAATTCACAAAATGGAATAATACCTCATAGAGCAGTTGTAAGTATTAAATGAGGCAATATGTAAGAGTTTCGGTATAGTACTTTGCTCATAGCAAGCGCTCAGTAAATACTGTTATTATTATTTTTGTTACACACTGCCTGTGGATCTTTTGTGGCTCCCCAAATGGAAATGTGCAGATAAATGCAAAAGGGCTCAATGTCTTACATGCCTGTTTATATGTATCTGTGTATGTAAAGCGTAATGAACTGTCGTACATGCTATTAACTTCAGGTAATTAAGGAAAACAGGAAGCAAGAACACATTTTCAGCTGTTAAACATTTGTGTAATACTAAATAAAACTTATAGCCTTATAAAGAGACAGATTCACGTCTCTATTACTTATTTCTTTCACATGTATATATTTAACATGAAAATTACATGTGATAGGTAAATATAATATTTAATAAATTGAAATAACTTGTTTCCTGCAGGTTTCTGTTGATTCTCTTTTGTTTTTCTCTCCAACAGCTCAATCATACACCTTCAGATTGTTCAGCCAACTTTGATTTTTCTAGGAAAGGTTTATTAGTTTTCACAGATGGAGCCATTAATGGGAATGTCCAGCAGTCCTCCAATAACCCGACTGTCTCGGGGTTATTTCCTTGGACCCCTAAGCCGGGAAATGAAGACTTTAACTCAATCATTCAGCAGATGGCACAGGTAAAGTTCTCTCTCGTCATGGGAATATTAAGCTTATTTCTCCTGTTATATGTAAAAAAAAACTATACTCACTCTTTTTGCCTTAAAATGTGCTATTTTATGTTTGGTTGCCTGTGTTTTTATATTGTTCGGAGGAATTGATCATATTTCCTAATCTGTGTGTTGAAAATGTATTGGCTTAAACTTATATATGGAAATATCTATGTGTGCTGAGGAGAGATTTTTAGATAATCACTCCAATGTGACACATCTCTATACTTGCCAGGAAAGAGATTTTAATGGTTTTGATCATAGGAGGAAAATTAATATGTATACAGGTGATATATTTCCCTTGAAACTATTTTTAATTTTATATTAAAGCAAACTTTTTTTTTAATCCTTTTCTGAGGATATTTTTACATTTATCTTCAGATGGAGAAGGAGGGAGGGAGGGAGGGAGGGGGGGAGAGAGAGAGAGAGAGAGAAACATCAATGTGAGAGAGATACTTTGATTGGTTGCCACCTGCATGACCCCAACAGGGCTGGGGACTAACCACAACTGAGATACGTGCCCTTGGCTGGAATTGAACCCGGGACTCTTTGGTCCACAGGCCTGCAGGTCAACACTCTAACCACTGAGCCAAACCAGTGAGCGCCAAAGCAGACTTAATGGGACTTAGAATTAACATAATTAGCCCTGGCCGGTTTGGCTCAGCGGTTAGAGCATTGACCTGCGGTTCAGAGAGACCTGGGTTCCCGGATTAGGTTCCCACTAAGGGCACGTACCTCGGTTGCAGTTTGTCCCCGCCCCAGTCCTGGTTGGGTCGTGCTGGTGGCAACCACTCAATGTGTCCCTTTCACGTTGATGTTTCTCTCTCTCTCTCGCCCTCCCACTCTATCTGAACAAAAAATGGAAAAATGTCCTCTGGTGAGGATAAAAAAAAAAAAAATTAACATAATTAGGAAAATCTAGGGAAACATTTTAAAGAGTTGTCCAGTTTTATCCCTAATACCTATTAAAAATGAAATAATAGTTGAATTTTGGATATGTTTTGCATTTTTCACCTTATTTTCTAATATATGTCTTAAAAAATGAAATAAGTTTGAAAGTTAAAAAGAATCTGTTTAAGGTGTGATAGTTCTATATCTAATTTGACTAATAATTATTTCTGTGTGATGCTTTTGTGAGGTGATGACATTTATGAAGTTTTCAATTTATGAATGCAGTTATTAACAAAAGCAATAAAATAGTTGTTTGTCACAGTTACAGCACATTTGAATGGTGGCCTTTCCATAACTTTTGAATTAACCTATTAAAATAGAATACTAATTCATCACAATAGAATTTAAAACAATAAATAATGCATCTGGTTCTGACTATGGCTAAACACCAGCATATGTTTGATAATATCTAATTTGCTTTCCCTGTTTAAAAATTTATTTTGCATCAAAAGAATTTAGATAAATACAGTGTAAACAGTAATTTAGAATTTACTGTGGGAAAGGACATTGGTATTTTTATCCAGCTAGGGACTCATCTCATGATGTGAACGAATTGTGAAAACACCTCTTCTATTCCTTGAGGTTGCAGAATACTGCACACTCCCTCTTATGTTCTGCTGAAATAATGAAGTGAGGTGATTTCCAGAAGTAATTTATTATTGAAATGCTGAGTTTATTTGGTTTTGTAGAGATGATTTAGAAGGAGCTGTTTTTGTGCTCTTCACAGAATGGCAATTTCTGTTCTTCAGTAAATATTCTTCATTGGCTTTTTTTTTTTTTTTTTGAATCTTATTTAGGGCCGGCAAATTGAATATATAGATATAGAACGTCCCTCCACTGGTGGCCTTGGATTCAGCGTGGTAGCCCTCAGAAGTGAAAATCTGGGAGAAGTCAATATCTTCGTGAAGGAAGTACAGCCAGGGAGTATAGCGGACAGGTGAGACAGATATCCATTTTGTGTTTTGCTAACATTTTTTTCTAACAATTCTGAGAACACTGTTATAAAGAGAATAAGAAAGTGATAAAAACATAACAGTGGCAGTTAACACTTAACTCTCCCTCTTCCTATGCATTTGTCAGGCCTTTTGCAGGTATTTTCACATAAAGTTGTGGCAGCCATCTAGCTATTGGTATATTACTCTGGGTTATAGATGAGAAAGCTGAGTTTCAGAGAGTTTCAGTTGATTACCAATAGCCACAGAGCTATTAATGCTGGAACCATGATGTGATTCCAAGACTGTCTGATTGCAAAGCTAGGATTCTTTCTATTCCACCACAGTCTCTCACAATTGAACATGATATTTTAGCTAAGGTCTCATCTGTAAGATGGGAATATTGAAATTCACATTCTGTTTATTAAATTTAAGATTATAGCAACATTTTTGGTGGTCATGTCACGCTATTATTTTACTTATTGTTGAGTCTTTGTGATTCTTCCTGTTCTACTTTTGCTTTTTGTTTTATTTTAAAAAAAATTGTTTTTCTTTATTCATTTTAGAGAGAGAGGAAAGGAGAGGGGGTGAGATAGAGAAACATCGATGAGAGAGAATATCAATTGGCCGCCTCCTGCATGCCCCCCACTGAGGATTTGGCCCACAACCTGGGCATGTGCCCTGACTGGGAATCAAATTGGCGACCTCTTGGTGCGTGGGTTGATGCTCAACCACTGGGCCACACCGGCCGGGCTTGTTTTATTTTTTAAAGGGTATGTGCAAGCCTTATATTTTGTCTCTATTTGATTTCAGGTTTTTAGTTTATTATTCATTTAACAAGCACACTATTCATTGCGTTACTACCACCTGTTAGAATAATAGCAACAGTAGTAGTACTATTATAAAAAGATTTTCAATTAATAATATAATTTTTAATCCACATTCTCTATTCATGGAAGATCAGTTCTAGCCTCAAAGAATAAATATGCCAAGTCCTGGATTTCTGCTGTCTAATGCAGCATTTCCTCAAGTGGTCAGATGTCTTTGAGAAACTCTATCCTGTTCTTGGATATTGGATGTATATAGTTAGGGTAATCATATAATTTATTGTCCAAGTTGGGATAGTTTTGGGAATGAGAGGGTGTGCTGTTAATAATGACACTGATACAGTAGGTATAGATTAGGACTATTCTGGGTAAACCTGGATTTAGGGTCACTTAACATTAGTTTACTTAAGGCTATGAAGTCCCTTAACAAAAAAGCTTATTTAACCTTGATTGGACCGACTTAAACAATTTTTTTTTAAATCCTCACCCAAGGACATTTTTCCATTCTTTGTTCAGATAGAGTGGGAGGGAGAGAGAGAAAGAGAGAGAGAGAGAAACATTGATGTGAACGGGACACATCGAGTGGCTGCCACCCGCACAACCCAACCAGGGCCGGGGACAAACTACAACCAAGGTACGTGCCCTTAGCGGGAACCGAACCCAGGTCCCTCTGGACTGCAGGCCGATGCTCTAACCGCTGAGCCAAACCGGCCAGGGCTTAAACAATTTTTTTTAACTTAAATATTTATTATTGGACAAGCTGATGGTTGCCAGATGGGAGGTGGGTTGGGGGATAGGGTTAAAAAGGTAAGGGGATTAAGAAGTACAGATTGGTAGTTACAAAACAGTCAAGGGGATGTAAAGTACAGCATAGGGAATATAGTCGATAATATTGTAATAACTATGTATGGTGCCAGGTGGGTATTAGACTTATCAGAGAGATCACTTTGTAAGTTACACAAGTGTTTAATCACTATGCTGTGCACCTGGAACTAATATAATATTGAATGTCAACTTTAATTGACAAATTTGCCCAGCAGTGTGGCTCCATGGATTGAGCGTTGTCCCATGGATTGAGAGGTCTCAGTTCGATTCCTGGTCAGGGCACATGCCTGGGTTGCAGGTTCATCCTCGATGTAAGGGAAGGGGCGGGGTGTGTGTGCAGGAGGCAGCTGATCAATGTTTCTCCCTTCCTCTCTCTCTCTAAAAAAAATCAATAAAAACATAAAAATTTGTTTTAATTTGAAAACATTATTGGGATATATTTACAATGTTATTATCAAAAGATAAATGTTATTTTATTTTATTTTTATTCTTTTAGTTCTTATCTGAGGATATGCTTATTGATTTTAGAAAGAGGGGAAGGAAGAGAGAGAGGGAGAGAAACATAGATGTGAGAGAGAACATTGGTTGGTTGCCTGCTGCAAGCATTCTGACTGGGGATCAAACCTGAATCCTTTCAGTATACGGGATGATGCTCTAACTGAGCCACGCTGGCCAGGGCAAATGTTACCATTTTAAAGTGAACAGTTCAGTAGTTTTTAGTGTATTTTCAATGTTGTATAACTTTTTTGTAGTCAATCCTTATGTCTCAGTTACTCTGTACAAATAGGTCTATAATTGCAGATTGCGGTGAGCACTTCTCAAAAGAGGTGTTTGATATTTGAACGTGTAAGGAATATAGACCAAGGCTAGGGAGGCAGGTGGCTTCCCAGAGGCAGTGGTGCTTGAAGGGAAATTTGAGACAGTGGTATATTCAGAGAGCAGAAAGTGTTGGGGAGAGGAATGAAGAGGCTCCCTTGACAAGTAGCCCTGTGGAGTGATGCAGCGTATCTCCTAGCTTTAGAATGTGGCTGGTACTTACCTGGTGTTGGAGCTGAGTGTAAGAAGATGTAAGAAGGCGCTGGAAGACAGGCCAGCGTGCAGGCCCTTCTAAATCACGTTAAATGGTCTTTACGACCAGTTTTTTCTTCTCAGGACTTTCTACACAGAACTGTGTTATTGAAGGAGCTTGCCTAAGACCTATTGACTCAAGGCCATTTAAATCCATTATTCTGGATGTTGTGATGGAGAGCCAAGAATTATGCTCTCCCTGAATGGAAAGTGGGAATTCAATTACATATACAGGGTGGGGCAAAAGTAGGTTTATAGTTGTGAATATGCAAAATACAGTTTATTCTTGTATTATTCTTTATTAATTATCATATTACTTTCCATATGAACATCTGTAAGCCTACTTTTGCTCCACTCGGTGTATGTATGTATGTATATATGTATAAATATATATAGTATGGGGAGCTGAATTATAAATAGTAATAGTAGCTAGGGATGTAAAGTACAGCATGGGGAATATAGTCGGTAATGTTGTAATAACTATGTATGGTGCCAGGTGGGTACTAGACTTATTGGGATTACTTCCTAAGTTATTTAAATAAATGTCTAACCACTACGCTGTACACCTGAACCTAATATAATGTTGAATATAAGCCCTAGCTCTGTGGTCAGAGCATCAGCCCAAGCACAGGAGGGTCAAGAGTTTAATTCTGGTCAAGAGGACATATCTGGGTTGCAAGTTCAATCCTTGGCCTCGGTTGGGGCACATATAGGAGGCAACCAATTGATGTGTGTCTCTCACATCGATGTTTCTCTCTCTCTCTCTTTCTCTTTCTCTCCCTCCCTTTCACCTCCTCCATACCCCTCCTTTTCACTCTCTTTAAAAAAGCAATGGAAAACAACAAAAACAAATATACATGTGTGTGTGTGTATTAGTGAATATCAACTGTAATTGAAAAAACTTTTTAAAGAAAAAAATAAGAGTTCGGCTGGTGTGGCTCAGTGTTTGAGCATTGCCCACGCACCAAGAGGTTGCCAGTTGGATTCCAGGTCAAGACACATGCCCAGGTTGTGGGCCTCATCCCCAGTGTGGGGCATGTAGGAGGCAGCCAATCGATGTTCTCTCTCATTGATGTTTCTCCCTCTCACTCCTCTCTCTCTAAAACCAATAAAGGAAAAAATAAATTAAAAAAAAAAAAAAAAAGAATAGCCATAAAACTAACTTTATTCAACTTTCAAATGCATCAAAATCATATTTTCCAGGAGACTTCTCTGTAGCTTGTTTATCTTGGTTTGAGTTTATATTCCCCGAACAGATACTAAGTGGAAAGAAACAGGGTATCCTGAGAGACTGTTGGTTAGCGGTAAAGGTAGATTAAAATAGAATGGTTTCCAGAAACTAGAAAATCTGAATGTAAGTTAAGGACCAATTTGTGCCAAATGAGTTACATCAGGGTTGAAAAGATTCAAGAGCAAGTCATCCATTTGGGATTAATTAAGAAATTTCCCTTAATGAGCAAGCTGTGAAAAAGTTAGGGGAAGAGGCCACTGGAGATGGGAAAATGGAAGTGATTCCTGGATATTTCCTGCAGTGGTCACATTTAAAAATAAATGTTTCTTTAGGACTAGGGAAGAGTTTTCAAGCAACATTCTCAATTAAAAATATATATATTTCAAAATTATGAAAATTATTATGAAAGTAATGCATGTGTATAATAGAAAAGATATAAAATATGGAAAAATTATTATGAAAGTGATGCATGTGTATAATAGAAAAAATATAAAATATGGAAATATAATAATCAGCACGTTCCTATATGCACCCCGACCGAGGCCCAAAAAACTGCTTGGACTTTGACCACCCTGGGACAACTAGGAAAAACATTAGAATGTTTTCTTTTTATAAAGTCAGGTCATGGAGTATATATAATTTTACATTCTATTCTGTACTTTTGATGTAACATAAACCTTTTCTAATATAAATAAAAGGATATATAAGCAACATTTTTAATGGTACATGATCTGTTGTGACAACTGCCCACAATTTTGGCATCAAAAATGGAAATGCCCAACTTGCTAGTTTCAAAGGAGAATCTAAAATCTATCAGTCCCTGTCCTCAGAAAGCTTAAAATCTAATTAAGAAGGATATAGGGAGCTCAGTTGACAGTGTACTTAGTAAAAATGAATATTCGATGAGTGATAAATGAGCAGGAGAGGAAAGGGAGAGGGACAGGGACAGGGAAAGGGAGAGGGACAGGGACAGGCAAAGGGAGAGAAACAGGGACAGGGACAGAGACAGAGAAAGGGAGAGGGACAGGGACAGAGAAAGGGAGAGGGAAGGGAAAGGGAGAGGGACAGGAACAGGGAAAGGGAAAGGGAAAGGGAGAAGGACAGGGAGAGACATGTCCTCCACTGGACTGTGGAGTGTGAACTGAATATGGCTGAGCAAAGTGGAAGGGCATTAGAGATGGAGGAAACTAATCACCCAAGAGTTGAGAGGGAAAGAAATCAGAATAGTTGCAAAAGGGGCTTATGTAGGGAGGAAGCCAAGTTGGAAGAGTACTTTGGGGTCAAGTACAGAGGCCTTTGAATACCCACGAAGTTTATACTGTTCTAGAGGTCAGAAGTTATCAAATTCTCCTTGGCAAAGTTTTGCTGAATCTGGTGTGGCCTGAGAAAAATAAGGGCAATATAATGGAATATTCAGAATTCAAATTTATGAATTAGAATTTTCTGTTTTGAGGTAAATTCTTTCTCTGGGAGATTTTATATTTTGAAGGTTAAATTTTTTTTTAATGACATAATCATGACAAGAGTTTGTTTTCTTTCCATTGGCTCATTGGCTCTTTTTTTTTTTTTTTTGATTGGTCAATACACAGATAATCATCATGTATTTTTGAGTTGGCAAATACCAGCACAGGAGAGCCTAAAAGAATAAACCTTGAGGAATTTTACAAGTTAGCTTTAAGGTATTTGATAAGGATCTCAACTGAAAGGTTGACGTTGGGAATGAAAGAAGATGTGTAGATGCAAGAGAGACAAACAAAGATAAGGAGGCATTGCAGTGATGATGGAGTCAGGAAGAGGAGAAGTGGTTGGGAGATGGTGAACTCAAATACAGTAAGCCAGGACAGAGTAAATCTTACGATAGTCTTAGGCTGCACTGTAACGTAAGAAGTTAAAGAATGTGCTTCAGCCAGACTACTTAGATAAAATGCGAAGCTTGTTCTAGGCTTCAGTTTCTGGCCTGTAAAATTTAAATACTTTGAAAGATGATTACGAGGATTATATGAGATAATACATGAAAAGCATTTAGCACAGTGACTAGCTCATAATAAGGGCTCAGTAAATATTGACTATAATAATGCTTTTTTTTCTTAAGAGATTTTGCTAATTTCTTTTTTAAATAATTCTTTTTACCTTAGCAGTTGGGAGATTGGTACTTAGAGGAAAGAGAAGAGCCCAGAAACAGTTTTAGAAGTACTCTCTGGATTGTCAAGGAGGGTTTGGGCTCTATTGACATGTTGGTGTAGTGAAGTACAATAAGGCCAGGGTGAATCTGCTGGAGAAGAGGTTATTGATGAATTTGAGAATGTAGTTACCCCATTGTGGTATGTTGAAGTCAGATCGGAAGGGGTTCAGGAGTACAGGGTTCATGTAGTTAAAGGGGGCAGTGTCCATACTTGCAAAACCTTGGTAGTGGGACCCCATACATTGTTTTCCTTATTTTTCTAGCCAGATAGCTTTCAAAATGTACATGTGTTTGAGATGAAGTACTAAGTTGGTTAATGAGCCAATAAATGCTTTGATGAAAAGCTCTCTAAAAAGCTCTGTTATATTATTAAATAATTATATAATTATTACTAAGTGGAGTAGTACTGTAAAAAACAAACAAAAACTGTTTAACTTGAATAATAGATCTTTTTATTTATTTATTTATTTTTCATCCTCACACGAGGACATTCCTCCATTTTTGTTCAGATAGAGTGGAAGGGAGGGAGGAAGAAGGGGAGGGAGGAAGGGGGGGAGGGAGGAAGGAAGGGGGGGAGGGAGGGAGGAAGGGGGGAGGGAGGGAGGGAAGGAAGGAGAGGAAGAGAGAGAGAGAGAGAGAGGGAGGCAGAGGGAGAGAGAGACAAACATTGATGTGAGAGAGACACATTGACTGGTTCCCTCCCTCGTGACCCCGACCAGTGCCAGAATGAACTGCAACCGAGGTTCATGCCCTTGACTAGAATTGAACCCGCTACTCATCAGCCCGCGGGCTGACACTCTAACTGCTGAGCCAAACAGGCCAGAGCTAATAATAGATTTTTAAAAGTCAGGATATTATATCACTTAAAATAAAATTTTCTTTTATTTCACCAAGGGATCAAAGGTTAAAGGAAAATGACCAAATACTGGCTATTAATCATACGCCACTGGATCAGAACATTTCCCATCAGCAAGCAATTGCACTGTTACAGCAAACCACTGGATATTTGAGTCTGGTTGTGGCCAGACAACCAGTCCACGCAAGAAGCAGTACTTCTACCAGCCTAACCAATACAGTTTTGCCAGAAACAGTGAGTTGCAAATTTGGAAAAATACTTAATTTTGAATTATGCCATTGATTTTATCACATGTAGAAGGCGTCATTTGACTTGTCATAGTTTAAGAAAGATGATCATATTTCCAAATGCAGCATGAACATAGTAAACAAGATATTTCATTGAGGGTTTTGGTTTGGTTTGGTTTTCAATGTCCTATGATTCTCTTTATTTAAGATTATTTTTTAATATGGAGGGCAAATTGTAGTAGTAGGTGTAATTTATTTGGTGATGGAGTCTTGTGTTCCTTGGTGATAAAGACAGTTAATTAAGCTGAGAGTTTTTATTAGAGATTTATTATTGAGTATCTTAAGATTTTGTTATTTCACAAACATTATTTTTATAAACTATATTGGGTGTTTATGACTACATTATTGATACTATACAATTGTAGACGTTTTTCTTTTTCTCATGTAAGGATGAAAACAGTTCAAAAGAATAAAAGTATATGTCTCTTTTGGGAATCTTAAACTTGCTTAATAACATTTTACAGGTTTTGGCCTGCATCTTCAGAATGCAAGCTAATAAATCTTATTTTCTTATAACACTAAGTGCTAGCCGATTTATTTAATTTTCTTTCATTGGAACAAAAGAAAAAATAGACTGTCTGAGTATAATACAAGGTCACAACACAAATTAATGTATAGACATTTTCCCTGTTGTAATCAGTAATATTTATACAGCACAATTTACATAATAAACAGAATGAACAAAGTGGGAAATTGCTTAGCATAGTGGTTAAGAACAAGGACTCTGGGTCAGGCTAAAATGGGTTCAAGTTCAGTTCTTTACTTCCTGGCTGTGTCATATGGGGTAGGTTTCTTGACCTCTGCATACCTCAGTTTACTCATCTGTTACTTGGAGCTAATGACAGTGTCTACTTCACAGAGGTGTTGGGAGGGTCACATGAGAATGCATGTGAAGAGCAAAGCACAGTGCCTGGTGTACATTTTATGAATACTAGCTCATATTAATCAGGCATATTTTAGCAAATGTTGCTTCCCAGATACTAGATATTGTTTCAGACAAGAATTTATTAAATATTCCTAATATCCTGGTTATTTTAACATTGCATAGTAACTTTGCACTCTAGTATAATAGAAAAACTAAGTGATGAATATAACCTAAGAATTTTAAGAGGGAGGATTTTCTTCTGCAGTTGGATTATGTGAATTTAATGCACATTTCTGATGAAAGCCTGCTAGTCAGAGGAAAAATGTCATGTCTCTTACTCTGATTTGTATAATCCTATTGCTAATATCTTCAGTTGGGCCTACCTCTCCTCTCCCTCGTAAGAGTCTGCTAAATTATCTTATTGCCTTGTGTCCTTCTCATCATTTCATACTTCACATTGCTGCCAGAGTAATCTTCCTAAACTACTGCTTTGTTCCTGTCATTTACTCTTCTAAATGCTTCAAGTATTCCCACTCACTTAAGCAAGCCCGGCTTTGCTCTTACATTTCCCTTTTGCTTGAACGACTTTCTTCTTCTATAGTACAATTACAATGCCACCTTTTTTCTTGAAGCTTTCCATAAATGTTTATTGGATTTGACTTCTTGTCTGCAATACCTCCCCTCAGTCCTTATAATACTTTGTGATTCTCTTTCAATTCAGATGAGCATATTTTTATGTTCCTACTGTGTGCTGGGCACTGAGCTAGATCTTGGGCAGAGACTGAGGAGTGAGACGTTTCAGTACTGTTAGAGCTACAGTGTCTATGATCTAATATTTTAATTATTTATGTTTTAGATGATCTCTCTACTGGGTTATAAAATCTGTAAGGGCAGGGATTATATGGTCTTCTTTACATATCTCATAGCCTCCCAAAAGTTGTCTTGATTAATTGTATGAATGTTTAATTTGTTGTATATTTATTACTTTAGTAATTACTGTATTGGGAAGCTAAGAATCTGTGTGTTTTACTAACACTTTGGCTCTTGCCATTAATTTGTAGGTTCGCTGGGGCCATATTGAAGATGTTGAGCTCATTAATGATGGCTCTGGATTAGGTTTTGGAATAGTTGGAGGAAAATCAAGTGGTGTGGTTGTGAGGACTATAGTTCCTGGAGGATTAGCAGATCGAGTAAGTTGACCTTTTTTGTTTTTATACAATTTAAATTGTATGGCTTGAAATATAATTTTATAACATGGGTTACAATCAGAAAATACAGTGATTATAAATAGTTCTCTCACGTTACATAGTAAATTTCACTTGAATTTAAAAATTTTGGCATTATCAAATGACTACACCTTATACTTAGCCATAAAACTAAAAGTGGGACTTTAAAAAATGTATCCACTGGTTCTGCTTAGTTTTACTAATAGAAGAAAATATTAAATATTACATTTAGTTTTTAGAAAATTGGTTATGAGGCCACTTAATGAGCCTATATTATATAGAATGCCCATCATAATCAAAATAATATGTAAATTTCACTGCTTAATGTGCAGTTACTTATACATTTATCCCTTCTGATAAACATATATAAACAAAAATAAGCTTACTGTGCAGCTTTGAGGCAAGTCCATCAGCTGCCCATTTCTAAGCAAGATTGCTCCGTCTTGCACTAATTGTGGAGCTACTAATATTTCTATTATGCTTTTAGAATCTAAGTGCATTTAACAGGTAGCTGAGTATCTTGCAGAGGGTCAGTAAGACCAAAGCAGTTTTTACAATTACACCAGGATGCTCTTAGCTCTTTCACCATGTTGAAATTTGCACTGATGATGGTAAACTGACAGTGCCGGTGCCCTGGTGCAAGTAGTCATCGTATTCTTCTCCACCACATGCTTGCAACAAAAAAGAAAAACAAATTGCCAGTTTCACTTACGAAAGTGCAATAGCAATGATTAATTTTAGTACACTTTGACTTTTAAGTGCACGCGCTTTTAATAGTGTGTGACAAAATGGCATGTACCTACATCTGCCATGTACTAAAGTATGAAGGTTGTCTTGAGTGAAAAACATTTGTAAGACATAGTATCCATTTTTTAAATATTAAACAGCCTTTTCATTTTAAAAATTGTTTTATTTTTAAATTTTTGCTCTTATTCAAAAGAATTTTGAGATATAATTGACATTCAACATTATATAGTTTCAGGTATACAGCATAATGATTCAAAATTTGTGTGTATTGTCAAATAACCAGCACACTAAGTCTAGTTATCCATTACCACATATAGATACATTTTTTTTTCTTTGAAGAGGACTTTTAAAATCTATTCTCTTAGCAACGTTAAAAAATTTATACCTTTTGACCCTCGTCACCGATTTTTGTCCACCCCCAACCTTCTACCTCTGGAAACCACCCTGGAAAAGCATTTTTATTCTTGAAAGAATATCTGTCAGGAAAATTATGATTATTTAGACTTGGGTATTTGGTAGACATTTTCTTGAAAATGAATGAAATGAGCCTATTATTTCAAAGAAAATAACTGATAACATTTGTTAATGATGATAAAATTTGAACTGTCAAACAAGAATTAGAATTTTGGAAAATGTGTACTTTACTATGAGCTTGAATTTTTTTCAATATTTAAAGACTTCTGATTAGATTGTTGGTGATAATACTCTTTGATATTAATACTTTTTGATATTATGTAATGAAATATGTCACTATTTAGAAGATCTTTATAGCTCTGTGAATCAATATTTTCTGAAAACCAATGCATGATATGACAAAGTAAAAGATCCATTCATGATAGATCAATAGATTTTAATGAAACTGTGTCTGAAAGTTTGTTGGATGTAGTTTCTGATTCCATATTGCAACTGTTCTTTAAGAAAGCACAACTTGTCAAATTCTGGTGTGTTATCAAAGAAGAATGGGTTGAAAGATTATTAAAATACTTTCCTATTTTCTAACTATGTATCTAATTGAAGCCAGGTTTTTTTTTAATATGCTTTAACCAAAACAACATATTGCAACATATTGAATGCTGAAGCACACATGAAAATCCAGCTGTCTTGGCTGGCCAGTGTAGGTCAGTGGTTGAGCATCGGCCCATGCACCAAGAGGTCACCAGTTCGATTCCCGGTCGGTTCACATGCCCAGGTTGTGGGCCAAATACCCAGTGGGGTGCATACAAGAGGTGGCCAGTCGATGTTCTCTCTCATCCATGTTTCTATCTCTTCTTCTCCCTTCCTCTATAAAAATCAATGAAGAAAAAAATTGGAAAAAAAAAATCCAGCTGTCTTTTTTTAATCCAGTCATTAAAGAAATTTGCAAAAATAATTTCAAATATCACTCTTCTCACTATTTTTATATAGCTCTTTTAAACATAAAAAATAAGTCAATATCATAAATATATATTAATATATTAAATATTAAAAAGTTTTTGCAACACTTTTCTAATTTAGTAGATATCAACAGAGATATCAAAAAGCTCTTTCGGTTTCTGAGTGATTTTTGAGTTATAATTGATATATAATAAATTGCACATATATAAAGTATACAATTGAATAAATTTTGATACATGTATACTGGCAAGTCTGAAATTTGTAATTCAGGCTAGGAGGCTGGAAACCCAGGAAAGATTTGATGTTGCATTCTGAACTATGAAATTTGTAGGTAGGTTAACAGGATTACTGTTACTGTCTTAAGGCAGAATTTCTTCTCCAGGGAACCTCAGTTTTGGCTCTCAAAATCTTTAACTGTTTACATGGAGCCCACTCACCTTATCGAGGGTAATATCCTTTACTTAAAGTCAACTGATTGTAGATGTTAATCACATTTACAAAATAATTTTACAGTAACATCCAGACCAGTGTTTGATCGAACAGCTGGGCACCATAGCCTAGCCAAGATGACATAAAATTTAACCATCATACCATCTATCATTGCAACCAAGATAATGAACAATATCCATCACCCACAGAAGTTTCCTGTGCTCCTTTGTAATCCCTATTCCTCATCCTCAGTAGTTTTTAATACTACAAAGGGGTTCTGAGACCAAAAAAGTTGATACTGGTCATTTTATGGGTCTTCAAAACACATCTGTGGCACAAAGCACATAGTAATCTTTGAGGATTTTTTGAAAATTTTTGTAACCTGGAAAGGGATGAGAAATTGTGGAGTATTTTGATATGATGGAGTTGATGGAGTAGCATTTTTCAAGATGCAAAGTGGAGTACCTATTGTGGAAAGTAAAGGGTCAAATACATTTAGAAAACACCAAGTTAAACAAAATCAAATAGGTTTCTTTACTGTAAGAATTTTCTGAGCTTTTAATATCCTAATGTGCATTATGAATTTTCACAAGGAGAATATGATGTGCAGAGTTTCCCAAATTAATCCCTTTGGGAAAAGCCCAGGTCTGATTTTTCACTCTTACTGGAAGGGATTGTCACTATTTCAGGTCATCAAGAAGGGGGTATGGGTGTACCCATCAGAGTCATAATGGAGAAGCAAGTGTTTATGCCAGACATTGTTATCTGCCTGTATATATTATTCTTATAGTTCTTAAAAGTGTCATAAATCTTGGTCCCAAATTATAGATATGGAAACTTAAGAAATTGCCTAAGGCTACATTACTAGGAAATGACAAAGTCAGGATTGAGTCCACAACTGTTTGACTCTGAAGTCAAACAGTTGTGGACTCAATGCTTTACTTCTTAAATCTATTCATTCAAAGTTGGTCTTAATGTGTGTGTGTGTGTGTGTGTATGTTTCCTGATATGCACCTGTACAGGTTTGGTCAAATCTGTCTATCATGAGGGAATATAGGAGCAACAGGGCTATTGACTCTTCCTGTAGGGAATATGGTGAGACCCAAACAAAATGGTATTCACTTCTCTCTTCCCCTCATTTCAGCTGATGGCAGGTAGAATCTCTTCAGCTGACTCTGCAGTGTTGCTAAATCTTTATAAGCTGTTGCTCATGTAGCCTGATCATAGTTTAAAAAATTAAAGTGAATATTGCTTTTAATTAAAATATACTCATGTTTTGAATATTAATGTTCACTGTTGACTATGGTAACCTTCGTGGTAAGGAAATATGGATGTCTTAGGTCTTTAGTTCAGATGTGATCAAGATTAATCTTAAAGTGATACATTCTGCTGAAGTGGTTAATGAATACTACTTTCTTGAAAGAAGATAAAATTGTATAATAGAAAGTTAGAACACAAAGTTAAGAAAAACAAAGAAGTCAGTGTTTCTTATTTAAAAGGGTTTCATAAAATAGCCCCTGTATTCCCTTTTAGGTACAGATAAGTCAATATGTATAGTGAAAAGGTGAGGTAGAGTTGAGGGGGTGCAGCAAAGAACACTTACCTGAGGTTACTGCTGCCTAAAGAAACATCAGAACTGGATGCATCTGAGGACTTACTTGGCTGTAAACAAGGTCCTAGGCTAAAGATTTTACATATAGTATTGAGTTTAATGCTCACACTCAGTGAGAAAGGAATTTTTTCCCATTTTGTTTAAGAGGGAGCTGAGATTTAAGTAGGATAAAAAATTGACCTTTGGCCATACTGCTTGATCAAAGTAAAACCAAATTGAGCTCGGGTGTGTCAGACTCTGAAGTCCTTCTGTCTACTGCCTCAAATGTTATAAAGTAAATGAAATGGAAAAATATTGATTCATATAAGCTTTTTAGAAACATTTATTGGAATCTAGCTACAATGACCAATCAGTAAATGTGATCAGGGCCAAGTTTGAAGATAAGGAATTTCTGTGGTATCGTGTAAGAGGAGCTGAAAGAACTAACAACTACCTGTAATCCTCAGATATTCTGAAAGACTCAGTACCTGATGCATATATCTTTTGAGAATTCTGTTTGGTTATGGCAAAAATTTAAAACTTTTTCAGCAGCTGGAAGTTTTCTTTAAAAACATTGATAACAGGCGGTATAAAACAACTTTGTTTTGCAGAAATCTCTTTCATGTGGCCTGGAATAATTCTAGGCAAATCAGGGACACTGATTTATCCCATTGTCTCCATAAGGGGTCTGTTACAACTCAGCCTATTTAAAAGTTGTCATGAATTAATGATTCTTTGGTATGAGGCAGTTATAATATGAGTCATAATAATTATCCAATATCCTTTAATGCTAGGAAGGAATGGAACCAAGCCAGGATTTAGA